CAGCAGTCAAGAAATCAAACGACGTATTGCATTAGGCAAATCTGCTGCACAAGACCTTTTTGAAGTGTTGAAGAGCAAAGATGTCAGCTTGAGGACTAAGGTGTTCCTGACTCAAGCCATGGTATTTTCAATCCCGTCATATGCATGCGAAAGCTAGAGAGTGAATAAGGAAGACCACAGAAGAATTGATGCTTTTGATTTATGGTGTTGGAGAATAATGGAAGTGTCATGGGCTGCCAAAAGAACCAATAGATCCGTTTTGAAAGAAGTGAAACCAGAGTGCTCCTCGGAGGCCAAGATGGCCAAACTTCTTCTGTCATACTTTGGACATACTGTCAGGAATGACCAGTCACTGGAGAAGGATGTCATGTTTGGTAAGGTGGAGGATCAGAGAAAAAGAGGAAGACCCCCAAATAGATGTGTTGGCCAAGTAGCAGCATCGATGGACTCAAGCGTGGCAACAGTAGTGAGGTTGGCCCAGAATCGGGCAGTGTTTTGTTCTGCTGTGCATAAGGTCACTATGATTCGGTACCAACCCAATGGCACCTAATAACAACAAGAAGTCACTCAACATAAATTGAAAATTCTAAACAGAATACTGACCTGACAAGTAATATATTAAAATATATATTTTTAAAAAGATACTAGTTCATATGCAAGTTGAACTTATTCCTAAATGTTAAGTCCAGTGGAGTCAGTTCTGACTCACAGCAACCTTGTACAGGGTTTCACAGTTTTAAATATTTGTGGAAGCAGAAAGCATCATCGTTCTCTCTTGGAGCACTGACATTGGTGTGAGCCACCACTCTTCTTTTCCTAGATATGCAAGGTTTATTTTTAAGAATTAGTGTAATTCACTACATAAACAGTAACGGAGAAAAATGATATCTTAATAGAATCAGATAAATGCATGTGCTAAAATGAAAACTCTCTCATTTAAACCACAACAAAACCAATTTGAAATAGGAAACCTCCTTACTCTGATAAAAGGTATCTAAAAGGTATTCAGAACAAATGTACTCAGTGGTGAAATATTGACCGCTTTCCCATTAGAAACAGGTATGAGATAAGGTTACCTGGCATCAAGACTTCTACTCATTAAATTGGGGGCATGAGCCAGGTGATTAGACAAGAAAGAGAAGAGAAGGCAGGAGATTAAAATAAAGGTAAAGCAAATGGATGGAAGGAAAGATATAGAATTGTACCTATTTGTAAACAATATAATCATGCATGTAGAAAGGCTTTTTAAAAATATAGATTATTTAAATGAGTGCGTTAAGTGAGGTTGTTGGATTTAAGGGCAAATACAAAAATCAATAAACAAAATTAAGTTTAAAAAGATACATTTTACTAAAACATTTAAAAGATAAGAAAAATTTTGCAAAAAACTTTAAAAAATATCAATAAGAATAAATCTAACAAAAGATGAAGACCACTACCTAGAAAATATAAACATTATTAAGAGAAGTTAAAGAAGATGTAAATAAATGTAGGGATATATTGAATCTGGAGTCCTAATATGGCACTACAAGATAATGCATTGGACTGCAAGGTTGGTTTGAACCGCAAGATTGGCAGTTCAAACTTACCAGCCAGTCCTTGGAAATCCTTTACAAGGTCGCTGTGAGTCAGAACCAATTTAACCGTAACAACAACAATATTGAATTTATTCCTTGTCTACAGAAAATACATTGTTGCTCATTATCCTATAATTAGAGCACAAGTCACTGATTTTGTACACGGTAGTAATTTTTTATGTGTTGCTTGCTAATTCAGTAAGTATCATTTTTACTTGTTATGGGTCTTAATTTTATAATAAACTGATAATGAGTTTTCCTCTCACTAGGCTGTGACCATACATAAACTGCAGGGAAGTTCTGTTAATATATCTACTGAAGATGGTCTACTAAAAGCCAAGTATCTTTATACAGAATCATCATTTCTGTCTTCTGCTGCTGGGGATATCACATTAGGAAGTGTTCACGGTAAGATGACTAAGGCCTAATATATTTTAAACTTTCCACATAGCATAAATTTTAAGAGATACTTCTGTTTGTCTGTAGCTGAGGAAGGATCTGCTATCAGGAAGCTGGTCTTTCAAATAATTAATTACAAGCTAACTGTGTGGCACTGTGGGTTAATGCCCTGGACTGCAAAGTTGTTTGAACCACAAGTTCGGCAGTTCAAGCTCAGCAGTCACTCCTTGGAAACCCTATACAGGATTGCTATGGGTCAGAACCAACTCGATAGTACTTAACAACAACAAACAGCAAACCATCTTTTAAAACACCTAAAAAATTATATTACTCATAAACCCAAACCAAACCTACTGCCATCGAGTTAATGCTGGCTCATAGTAACCCTATATAGGATTTCCAAGGCTGTAAATCTTTACTGAAGCAGAAAGCCTTATCTTTCTCCCACAGAGAGGATGGTGGATTTGAACTGCTGACCTTGTGGTTAGCATTACAGTGCTTATCCTACAGCACCACCATGGCTCCTTAAAATTACTCATAAGCTAAGTTAATTTTATTTTGGCAAGAAATGAAAAAAATGAAAGCTAATAATCAGATTTTTTATGTATTTCTTTATGAAAGAAAATAATAAAATATGTGCAGGAGATAATTCAAAAGACAGCACAATGAAATAAAAACAGTATAAGAAATAAAGCTGGGTTCTGAGTGGTTGTTCTTATGTTATCATTGTTGTTGTTGAATGCCATTGAGTCGATTCTAACTCACAGTGACCCTATGTAAAGTTTCCAAGGAGGGACTGGTGGGTTAGAACTGCCGACCTTACAGCTCAAACTGACCTTGCAGTCCAGCACAGTTTACTTCAGGACTCCTATATAACCATAGGAAAGCTAAGAATTAAATAAATTGCTGAGATATTTGAGTGGGATCTAGTTCTATGAGGGGCCTTCAAAACGTTCATGGAAAGATTCCTTTATCTTTTAATTTCATTTTTCCATGACCTAGTATAATGCAAAGCTGTTTGAACTACAAGGTCGGTGGTTCAAACTCACCAGTCGCTCCTTGGAAACTCTATACAGGGTCACTATGGGTCAGAACCAACTCAATGGCACTTAACAACAACACAAGTAGTAATGCAGAGATGCTATTTTTGATTGAAATGCTTTATCTACGTTTGTATTCTCACTAGGTTCTCTTATCACCCTGCTACTTACTTTCTTTTTTTTATTAAGTATAATTATTAAATATCCTCTTTTGACATGTTTCTACAGTAAGTAATATTACTTAACTTTCAAGTTATTGAAAGAAGAGAGCATAATGATGAAGTAATATGGCAAAGGACATGCTGGTATTCAGTGTTATTCAGTTTGCTTTTTAAATTTCCATGTAGCAGATTATTCAAACTAAAGTATGTTTTCTGGACTATCTACTGATAGAAATAATTAAGAATCACTAATCCTGGCAAGAAGTACAGTATATAAATATCTGCTAAATGCCTTTAAGTCCATTTTCCAGGAAGTGTAGACATGAACTTTTTCATACATAGTCTACTCATTTCTCTTCTATTGCAAAACTAACTGCTAGTATCTCTTCACTTTACTTTGATAAAACCATGCCCTCCAGATTTTAGTTGTTGTTATTGTTAAGTGACATTGAGTCGGTTCCAACTCAGTCAGCCTGTATTTTTGAAGAGAAGCTGGTGGGTTTGAACCGCTGATTTTGTGATTAGCAATCCAGTGCTTATGCTACAGCACCACACCAGGACTTTTCTGATTTTAGTGGTGGTGGTATGATGTGGAGTTGGTTCCGATTCATAGCAGCCCTGTATACGATTTCTGAGGCTGTAAATCTTTACAGGAGCAGAAAGCCTCATCTTTCTCTTACGGAGTGGCTGATAGATATGTGGTGGTTAGCAGCCCAACTCGTAATCCACTACTCTACCAGGGTGAGAATGAATTATTAGGTGATAAAGTCCTGGTGTGATGCTGTAGAATAAGCATTGGACTGCTAATCATACAACAGTTCAAACACACCAGTTACTCCTTGGAAACCCTATATAGGTTTGCTGTGAGTTGGAACCAATTCAACAGCACTTAAAACAACAACGATATTAGAAAGCAGTTTAATGCTCCCCATGCTATGTAGCTGTCTTAGTTATCTAGTACTGCTGTAACAGACGTATCTCAAGTAGATTCCTTTAACAAACAGGAATTTATGTTCTCACAGTTTTGAAGGCTAGAAGTGCAAATTCAGAGCACTAGCTCTAGGGGAAGGCTTTCTTTCTGGCAACTCTGGAGAAAGGTCCTTACCTCCTTTTAGCATCTGTAGGTCCAACATTCCTTGGAGATCTCCGTGCATCTTGATATTAATATTCCCCTGGATCTAGGAGCTTCATAGTGTAGGGACCCCTGGTCTAAAGAATATATTCCACTCCCAGCTCTTCTTTCTTGGTTGTAGTAGGTTCCTCTGAACTCTGCTTGCTTGTTTAATGTCTTATATCTCAAAAGAGATCGTCTCAAGATGCAACCTAATCCTTTAGGTTATACCTGGCCTCATTAACACTATTGTTGTTACTGTCAAGTGGTGTCAAGTCAGTCTTACTCACAGTGACCCTGTACAGGGTTTCTAAGGAGCAGCTGGTGGACTTGAACCACTGACAGTGTGGTTTGCAGTCCAGTGCTTATCCTACAATGATTTCCAGTAGTCCCATTAACAACATAGAAGTGAGGATTTACAACACATAAAATAATACCATCAGATTGGGGTTGATCACATCAAATCACATCAAGGGGGGCCTGCATTATAGTTCTGCTGTGCATAGGGTCACTATGAGTTGGTACCGACTCAATAGCACCTAACAACAACAACTACTTATGTATGGAGTCCTGGTGTGGCACTGTAGGATAAGCACTGAACTACTAACCACAAGGTTGGCAGTTCCAACCTACCAGCCACTCCTCAGAAACACTATATAGGGTCGCTATGAGTCATAACCGAGTCATAACCACACTGAAATCATTACATAACTGCCAAACCACTGAGAATCATGGCTTAGCCAAGTTGCCACACATTTTGAGGGGATATAATTGAATCCATTACAGTAGCAAATTGGAAAGTATCTGAAAAAGAAAAAAAAATGAGTGCTTGTGTACTTGAAATCATTCTTGAGCCTCAATTTGATGTTTAAATCTCATCAACTATTCTTTGAAAGTTAAGATATTTTTTGATCCTGAAATATCTTGAGAACAAATAGAGCTGTATCTAGATAAAGTGGATAGTTTTGATATTCATGTGTGTATTTTGTACTCATTTGCGCACCTAATAGTTTTGTTAATTTTTAATTCTTCATGGTCTTAGAGTAACTTTTTGTAATCATCAATGCACTTTGAACTGTCAAAAGTACTGTATTTAATATTATTTAGTGGCTTTTAGTGGGAAAATAATTTCATATTAGGTCAGATGTTGATTAAAATCAACATCTCAGGAAAAACAGCTGAGTTCTCTGGAGTGCTCTATATCATGTTTACACAAAATTAATGTTTCTTTGTTTTCCTTTAAGTTATACAAAAATTGCTTACATGATAGTAAAACAGATGAATTTTTTGAGGCAATTCTCAAAGTACTGTAACCAAGCAGTTGTCCTCAAGTAGATTCTGAATCATGTGACTCCATGTGTTACAGAGGAGACCTTGCCCCATAGGGTTTTCAATAGCTGATTTTTCAGAAATAGCCTTTCTTCTGCAGTTACTCTAGGTAGAATGAAGCTCCAAGCTTTCTATTAGCAACTGAGCACGTTAACTATTTATGCCACCAGGTTCTTTCAAAGTTCTTTATCTCTTGATTACTTAAAGTAGCTGACGTGGAAATGAATTGTTAGGGCTTAAAAAATTGCCTTCCACCTTTTATAGTTACTGACCTTTAATATGGAATCAGATATTTTCCCTGGGTGGTTTGACTCTAACCCAGACCTTCTGGACTATTGTTTCAGGTTCTCTTCTGGACTGTTGTTTCAGGTTGTTGTTGTTGTTAAGTGTCTTCAAGTCGATTCTGTCCCATAGTGACCCTGTATAGAGTTTCCAAGGAGCAGCTGGTGAGCTTGAACCACCGACCTTGCAGTTCAAATGACTTTGCAGTCTGAGGCATTAGCTCACATCGCCACATGAGGACTTTCAGGTTGCATTTCCCTAAATGCAGACTGTGGAATGGAAATTAGAGTACAGGAATATTACCAGAGAGACCTCTAGGGATCATGTTGTGTAAGGGAAGGAAGTCCCATTGGGCCATGGGATATGTTGGCCTTGAAGCTAGGATAGTCCCTCAGAGTTGTCTCACGTTGGGATGAATTGGGTTAGACCTTTATGTTCCCATGTGGGCTGCACAGGGAACGGGTGTGACCTTGGACCCAGACAGTTCACTTCAGCCAGGCAATTCCCAGAAAGACTGACAGCTGAGCACTGCCTGTTAGCCGTACTCACAATAGACAGGGAATAAGAGTCCTGAATGGGGATCTGGATGATGCATTATAACATCCACTACAGCAGCAACAACAGCAGCTATATGTAAGGAGTGCTAGTAGTGCAGTGGGATAAGCATTGGGCTGCTAACCTCAAGTTCTTTGGTTCAAACCCTTAGGTTTGTACCTTGGAAGAAAGGTTAGACTGTTGGTTCACGTAAAGATTTAGTGTGTGGAACCCGAAGGAACAGCTCTGTCCTAGGGTTACTATAAGTTGGAATTGACTTGATGGCAGTAGGTTACAGTTCCATGTACTTATTTGAATATGAAGCATATTTATTTGTTAAGTTTTTATTGAGAATTGAGTGATAGTTTACATGGGAGAACATCGGTTTTACACTCATCGTTTCATTGTAATAATTACAGTCTCCTCCGTGCATTATCATTCAACAGTATTTCCTTATATTCCCTCTTTTTTTGGCGAATGTACACTCCGGAATATATCATCATTTAAACAACCAAAGGACACATTCTGCAAGCCTGCTTCCTGGCTGCCAGC